TTTAATTACAAAAATATAAATAGATTGTTTTTGATGGTCCACTCTGTACAAGAGTAGAAATGTGATTGCTCAACATGAGATATAATAAATGTGAGCATTCTGAGAATGTAATTCTAAAGGAAATTGATTAACATTGAGACATAATGGAAATAATAGATAATAGACCATATATTTGAGAATGGCATTCAATTTATGTTGAAATACAATTTTGTAAAATAAACAAATTTAAAGCAACTACTTAAGGAGAAAATAATATTTTTAAATGTTCTCTATGTTTCATATTTAAAGAGTTTTGAATAATTTTACTGCTCTAATTTTTTATGAGTTCTTTGGTATAAGTTGTCATTGCTTTAGCAAGAAGATGTCCTTCTGCCAGTGAAGATAAATTTCGTAGTTAGGCAAGAAGCTAAAAAAACCAAAAAGAAAATGTTAAAGAGTTTTAAATCTAGAGATTCCAGAGTCCATGTAGGCCAATACGATTCAGCATTGGCACACGTTCATGCTGTCAATTTTACAGTTAATAGTAATTTACGTTACAAGACCGGAAAGTAGGGTTTTGCAGGTCGAGACAAGCAGATTCCAGGACGAGCCGTAGGCGAGACCTGAAAGCTTTGAGATAATTGCTTAACACTAATTTTCGGCCGCGCGACGTAAATTTTTTTTTAAAACCGACACTTCGATTTATTTATTTTATTTCAGGGGCGTGTGGCCATGGAAGCGGGGGAAGCACCGCTTCCCTACACTTTGAGATTTAAAAATAAATATTTTTCAGTTTACAATGCATAGAAATTAATATTAAATTAGGTACTATATTTCCTCTGGAACATTACGTAAACTTCGTAAATGTACTAATAATTCATTGGTGTAATGTGTAAACGCACGCACCACCCATAAGAAAATTAATTGTGTAAACGCACACATTATATAGGTACTTCAAGTCCGTCGGCGGAAGCGCGTCTTAAAAAAGCCGGCTGATCTTTCAATTGATTACGCTTTGTGTTATTGACTCCGTTTGTACTCGTGAAATACGGTCGAGAGGCAGCGATTATTACGTCGCCTTACGCATATTGCAATTCGCACCGCGAATCGACGTGTGAGGAAAATCGTAGACTTCAGATAGATTTCGGTGTGTTTTTCGTAGTTGTTTTTTTTTGTAAAATGGAGGAACTATGCACTGTGCCTGTGAACAATAATAATGTGGTAAATTGTGTCTGTATTGTGTGCTCTTTTTTGAAAAAAGAATTTTCAAGTAGAAATTTTGAAGAGAAAACGGACTTTATTAATTCTAGTAGATTAAAGGATCCTATCAATTTAGAGACGAAAGTAGAAAAGTCAGCAAATAAATTTACCAGGCATTTTCACGTAGGGTTCTATGAAAAGTATGAATGGTTAACCGGATGCAAAACTCTGAAGAAATTGTTTTGCTGGCCTTGCCTACTTTTTAATATGGCCGAAAAAACACATTGGAACTCAGTCGGTATTACAGACTTGAATAATTTTCATAAAAGTGTAAAACGACATGTAAATAGCAAATCTCATATAAGTGCTACAATTAAAGAAAAAACATTCGGGACCTATCGCATTAAACATAGTTTGGACAATCTTTAAAAATAAGCAACAAAATTCGCAATGAAAGGATAAAAAAATAGGGACGTCTTACAACGATTAATAGATGTAACTTGTTTCCTGGGAGAGCATGAACTAAGTTTTAGGGGTTACAATGAAGCAAGTGGATCCGCCAATCGGGGAAATTACATGGGACCTTCTAAGTTTCTAGCAAAATACGATGATACCCTAAAAAATCATTTTATTGATTCGACGACTTTCCGAGGTACCTCAAACAGAATCCAAAATGGTTTAATTAAATGCACTGCCGACATTGTGATGGATCACATTAGAAGTGAAATTAAAAAAGCACCTTCCTTGTCAATTGCGCTTGATGAAACCACAGATGTAGCAAACTTAAGTCAATTATCCATTGTTGGGCGATATGTATTGGATAGCATTCCTCAAGAGCGATTCTTAGGATTTTTGAACGTCAATAGCGAACGAATTGCAAATGCATTGTTTAAAATTGTTTGTGACATTTCAAGTTTAGAATATGGTTCTAAGCTTGTTGCCCAGAGCTACGATGGTGTTGCTATAATGGCTGGCCATTTAGGAGGCTTTCAAGCTAAAGTGAAATAGAAGTTTCAACATGCAATTTTCGTTCACTGTATAGCACATAAACTTAATTTGGTTTTATCGCGAAGCATGGATAATATTAAAGATTGCAAAGTTTTCTTTTCGACGGTTAGTGGTTTGGCTTCCTTCTTTTCAAAGTCATCGAAAAGAACTCGCGCTTTGGACATTCACGTTCAAAAAAGGTTTCCAAAAGTTACTCCGACGCGATGGAACTACAATGGACGTTTAGTGCAAATAGTGTTTCAATACCGTGATTCTTTGATACACTTTTTTCAACACGTTTGGGATAATAAAGAAACATGAGATGCTGAAACTTTTACTGCCGCTAAAGGGTATTTCCATTGGATCAAACAAACCATTGATTTCAATTTTTTACTCAACATTTTTGCAAAAATTTTCCTTTTTACTGACATTTTATTCGACATTTTACAGACAAAGTCAAATGTCATTGGCTTTTGGATTAAACAAATTGATGATTTCAAAAATAAAATAAATAAAAAACGAGATCAGTTTGAACATTTTTGGAATAAGACTCAAAACATTGGCTTAGAACCTGAAAAAAAGAAAATTAGAATTGATAATGTCGGCAAAAGAGAGACCTCCTATCGTCGATTATATTTCGAAATTTTTGATAATATTTTACAACAAAAGAATTTTCAATTTCAAAACTTTAGCGAATTAAAATTTGTTGAATTGTGCATTTTTAATATTAGTAACTACGATTCATCAAAATTTCCATTGGAAGCTTTTAATTCACTAAAATTAAATTATGGAAATATTTTTGATATTCCAGCAATAAAGTCCCAGTTAAGTGTTGTTTATGAAACAACTGAAATTAGTGATAAAAAGACGCCAATCAATGTGTAACATTTTCTTATAACAACTGGTTTAAATAAGTCCCTTTGTGAAGTCGTCAAGTTGTGTGAATTAATACTAACCATCCCAGCCACAAGTGCGTCAGTTGAACGAAGTGTTTCAGCTTTAAAGCGCATTAAAAGTTTTATGCGAAATTCAACAAGTGAAGACAGACTCTTTAATTTAGCCCTAATAACAATTAATTGTAAAACAGCTTATTAAACAGTTATCAGATAATCCAAAATTTTACGACGATGGTATAGACACATTTGCAGCCATTGAGGATAGGCGAACTGCTGTGTCAACTGTGCGAAAAATGCTGGAAAAAATAAAAAAACTTCAGTTAAATGTTTTTTTTACGTTTAAATTAACCAAGGAAGCTTTTCAATGGTAAGTTTTTTTATAGCTTCTAGTACTTAACTAGGTAATAAAGTAATAGAAACACCTCAAAAATCTCAATCTCGAATGTTCGTAGTACTGAGGAATAAAGTAAGATTTTGACAAAATGGTGAATGCGCAGCGAAAAATTTTTCGCCTACGGCGCTATGCTTACTGGCCTGCTGTATTTTTATACAATCGCTTCCTCTTCCAAAAATGTCACCGCACGCCACTGTTTTATTTAATAAAGTGATTAACAAATACTAACACAAGATAATGGATACAACTGCATAAACTAACCAAATTTTCATTTTCTATATCAGATAATTCAAAATCTGAATTCATATTTTTAAATTTGCGAAAACAAGTTTGACATAAACAACAAATTAAAAATCAACGAACTGTCACTTGGCAATAAATCAGAACGTTGCGTTGTTACAATAGTAAAGAAATCAAGGCAGGCTGTATTATCAAATACCGGTCGGAAAAATGAAAAATAGGGACCGATAATAGTTTGTGCAACAAGAGTGGATATGGTGGCCACATCGCACGAAGACGTTCAGTTGAACACAATGACATACTCTTTCGTTTTGTAGTCTGGGCGCAGATAAGCTAATATCCACGTGGGTGTAGAAAAAAGCTTTTTCTACACCCACATGGATTTCTTATGGAATTGTAACATAATTTTTCCATAAAATTAAGTAAACGATAATGTGTAACATACTCAATAATTGTAACATATTTTTTAAGTCTAGGAATTTTTTAACCTCGCAGGTTTTATTCTCACTGTACGAAATCAATTTAACAAACAAATTAATTTTTTTTTATTTAATCAGTGCCGACCTCTCTTGGCAATTAAAAAAAGCTATAATAAAAGTCACAGTAAATATTACCGTACTTGGAAAACGTTTCTTGTTTCACGGAGTGGGGAATCCCCCGACTACACGGAATTGTAAATCTGGAAAGCGGAAAACATTGATCTTATGCAAGATGCCAGAAATTGATAATCATTGGCAATTAAATATTAATTGACAAATACTGGTACAAAATTTCCCAAATTCGTGACTTATCTAACAATTTCGTGTTTAAAGAATTAGTGGTACTGTTAATTCACTATTATAGCCTCTCAAAGTGTAAACGGTGAAAACTACAATTTTCATGTTACACAGAAAATTATTAAACCAATAACATTGTATGAACACGAGGGAGATGGAAATGTTGGTATTCATTTTGATACCGAATAATTTTGGCCTAGATTGAAGTTTTAGTGTTATTTTTTGTTATTTGATTTTTTATGCGATTATAAATAAATAAAAATAAACATGACGTATTTTTTCCAAAACAACAAAATAAAGAAAATTGTAACATAATTTTCAAGAAAACACGATAATTTTGGCAGTACTGCGCGATAATTTCTTCATCGGCTGGTTGCAACACTGGTTATGATTGTCGACTTAATCTTGGCATCGTGAATATTATAATTTATCAATGAATGGCTATATCTCTGTTATCTCTGCTATTTATCATATAATATCAGATATGGAAGGGAACATTTTTTTTCTTAACATTTAATGATATATTAGGTTTGTAACAATTTGGTTGGTTTTAGGACACTCAATTCTGGTAAGTTTTTATTAATTCTTTATTGATAAAATGTTGCAATTATTTATAAAATGAATAAAAAAATTAACCCAATTATGCAGGTTGATTCAAAAAATATAAATAACTAGTATAGTCTCTTCCATGCTCTAAGAATTTTTAGTTTTTCTTCGTATTTATTGTCCTGTCTCTTCTTATAATCCCTTTTATTCTTTAGCTAAGAGCAATAACTGCCATCAAAATATCGATATGTAATGTATTTCAACTAAAAAAGTAATTTTATTTAATTTTTTCAGAACAATGATACAGCAGAGATTCTGGAAAACTGGAACCGCTAAAATAGTAGGTTTTTTTTAATAATGAATGTCATTTCTCATGGAATAAAAAAAATTAAATGTTACAAAAAATAAATTAGGAGAGAACCTGACAAAGTTACAGAACCACTCCACGCGGTGTTTTTAGAATTTATAGTATCAAAATATTATGTTTTTTTTGCCACGCGGTATAATAGGCTGTCATATTTTTCTTCAAATCCTTGACAGGCTTTAATGAATATGTCGAAAAATAATAAAATTATGGAAAAATTATTAACTAAATTTTGAATTAACGAGTGAATGATAATAATACAATTTTTTCCAATGTTATAGATTGCTGGTACATTATGTGCACATTATACTATGTTATTAGTAGGTATAATCCAGGGATTTAGTGCAATTCTCTTACCACAACTAAAAACTACTGACAAATATAAAGATTTAACAGAAGACGAAACATCATGGATAGGTATGAAATTTTAATATTATTTTACCATAAGATTTTTTATAAGTAAAATCGTTTTTTTTTTTGATAATATATAGAATTCCATAAAACAACAATAGTAGTTTGTGCAACAAGAGTGGATATGATGATCATATCGTACGAAGACGAAGTTTGGGCACGACGCCATAGGCGGAGTGCTTAATCGTCTGAGTGCGATATAGACAATTTACTCGAGTTGTACATTATATTTTTTCTACGAACCACTACCGAAAATATACAAATTAAAAAGATATTTTAGATTATTAAGACAAAACTAATTTATGAATTTTACTGATTTTTAAAATAAAATAAATATAAAAAAAAAGTTAATCGCCAGCCAAGAGTCTAACCCGGCTTTTCGCGTGGAAGGCAAGCACTCTGTCCACGCGTCTACGGCCACTTTTACGATTTTGGTTTTATTAATCATAATTAAAATAGTTTCATACAGATTAAATTTTTTTTTAAATATGGTTCAAATAAAAATGCTATTATTTACGATTATTTATCGATTTTACACAAAAATAACTTAATTTAATGTATATTTAATCTCAATAACTAAAAAATATACTAACAATTAGTTTACACGATTGTCACTTTTTTAAAAATAATAGTAGTTGGGTGTTCAAAATATGAACTGTGTTTGGTGGATTTTATTTTTTTGCAGTATTCTCACTACCTAGAATGGATATGAAATATATTCGTTCAGTTGAACGCAATTACATATTTTTTCGTTTAGTAGTCTGTGCGTAGATAAGCTAATGTCCATGTGAGTGTAAAAAAAACATTTTTTTCTCCAATCATTATCCAAAGTAGGATTTTGCGCTGCGAAACTGACATTAAGCGACAGCTTTTCGCTCGCCGAGTGGAAAACTTGACAGCTTTGTTGCTAACCTAATTTAAAATAGATATTATATAATAATATTTCTTTTCAATAAATGATTTTTAAGTTATTTGATCGTAGTTTGATGTTTTTTGTTTCATTATCCATGTCTTCGAATGTCGAAATCAACGTGAAAATTTTTCTAAAACATGATAGTAACTTGAATGTTTCGGCCTTTACTTGATGAAAATCCATATTATTAAAATGAGAAAAACCAAACATGGTAAATTTTTACACTTCTATTAAAAAAAAAAAATTAAATTAAAAATTACAGTCAATTGTTTCGAAGTACAACTTCTTCTTCAAATGTGACTTATTTACATTTTGGTGTTATGGGGAACCCATTAAGCCCGTTGCTTGCAGAAATATTTATGGATAATATAGAACATAAAATTCACAGCAATAATTTAAGAGCAAACATGACGGGCGCTCCTCCGCCAAAAATCAATTTTACATTTGAGGCAGTTAAAAAAAAATTGTAAAAAAAAATGGTTCAGGCCAATCGTTGTAAAAATGAAACAAGAATTTCGCTACACCGCGAAAAACTTATATTTTTAAAGAAAAACAACAAAAATTTCAACTTTTTAACAAATTTAATTTTTTGGCTCTTTACCGGCATTCTATAACAAATATCTTAACTATTTTCTAAATAACTTTTTTCAAAAAGATTACCAATTTTAAACAGGACCGAAGATTAACATAGTTTTTATTCCGATACTAATTCTATTAAAACAATGATACCAGTGAATATGGCAACGCTGCTAGTCTTTGAAGCCCGTGGTTAAAAGGGTAGCTGCTGTTTAGTTAAATTTGTTAATTCCTGTGTCAAAAAATAGGTAGTTGTTTTTGAAGGCGTTGTTAGGTTTTTGTTTAATTTAGTTTTTAGTTAATTTATGAAATGAAAAATTCTGGAAGGCAAAAATGCACAGCTGACAAATTTCTATTTTATTTGTTTGCTGCCAGAGTTAGTAAATCCTAGAAAAATACGACATGTGCCAATTAGGGAAAAGAGATTGTCAAGAATTTTGCACGCTTAAAAATGTGTAATATACAGGGTGTTCCTAAATACATGCGACAAAATTCAGGAACTGATTGCTCGTATGAAATTAAGATGGGTCTTTCCTATAACATAATTTCCTCAGACCACCCCTTTTCGAGATATCACCCTTAAAAAGTGGTGACTAAAATTGAGTTTTTATTTTTTTTCTAAAATTTCAGTAAAGCTAGAGACTTAAAATTCTGTAATCGCAAAGGACTAACCACGGGAATTTTTTCAATATTTCTGTTACATTATAGGGGGGTGAAATTAGCAACACTTACTTTATTTCATATCAAAACTTTTTTTCGAGATGAACTTTTATGAAACCCTTGATTTATTTATTTTTTTTTATTCATGAATTTTTTTTCCCAAAACCAATAGCTTCAGAGAAAAAAAATTAACACCCTAATTTATTATTTTTTTTTTTTAATAAATTGAGTGGAAAACAGTGTAACGGGCTTGTAACTATCGTATCGTACACTCTGTCATTATTCGTTTCTTGCAATAATTTACACCAGTTTACACCAGAAGATAGCACTTAACGAAGCGTTTTAGCCACTAATTTTGGCGAATTTTAAGAAATCATTAACAAGACATTAGGGGCTTAAATTTGGGGATTATATTTAGAATAGTGTTGTCGAGGAATGCATTTATTTTCATTATGATATTTCAAAATTAAAACCCTTTAATTTTTTTTGGGAAACTGGAAGGAATTAAAACATTAAAATATATGCATATTATAGATATTATTGCCTAATTTATTTTGCCAAAATTGAAATATTTTGAGATATTCTTGTCCGAAAATTATAAGGGGTATGAACACCTTAAGATTGAAAGAGAATTAACTTTAATTCATGAGATGCAAAGCATCATAATTGTCGCGTCACAAAAACCACCTGCTGCCAAGTGAAAATTTTATTTTGTGTTGTAAAAGAGAAAAAATTAACATTTCGTGTTTTAATAGTTATTTTTTTAATTTAATAATCTATGTGAAAAAAAAATTTTTTAATACAGACTTTAAAAAATTGTTATATTAATATACTTATTTAATTGTACTTATATTTGTTGTTCCTTTAATACAATAAATACAATTTACCTATCTCCAATTCATCACTTTCCGTATCCATATACCTAGAGTCCGATTACAATTAGAAAAACACTGCTACGTCATAACTATTATTTCGAATTTCCAATATACAGGGTGTCCCGAAATTAGACGGTCATATTTTAACAGCGTAATCTACATCCTACAAGTATTAGAAATTAAAAATTAAAAAAAACCGAATTTAAAAACGTGCAGATGCCGTCACCACGTCTTAACCAAAAAAAGAATCATATAAATCGGACAAGGTGGTAAAGCATTATCACTAAACATACATAAAAAATGAAGAGTTTGAGAATTTTCTCATGGGCCCAATTATTAGATTTTGACCAAATTTATATGGAACCACCCCTGAAGTACCTCCTTTCTAACAAAAAAAAAGAATGATTGAAATCGAACACCGTGTTAAAGAATTATCGCTGAACATACATAAAAAAAAAATTAAAAAAATATTGCGACGAATTGAGAACCTCCCTCCTCCTTTTATGAAGTCGGTTAAAAATAGGAGTAAAAGTTTATATAAACATAGGTCCGAAAACTTTTCGTTTTCGAGATACAGGGTGTTACAAGTAAAGTCCAGATGAAATATTTTCTAAAATTTTTTTAGTTACCGGTTTTTCAAAGTTAAAAAAAAAAATAAAATTTCTAATTCTACAGACCTACTAATTATTGTATACACTTTCGAATAAGGTAACATGATTTTCTCTTGAAAATGGCGCGTCCTAGCGAGATGCAACAAATGTAGCTTTATTATACAGAAAATATTGGTTTTTCAAATTTTATAGTCAAAAAACCTGATGTGTCCAACACATGACTTTCCTATCTAGTTATTATAGGCTTTTTTTGGTTATTTTGTACAACTTATTGCAGTACCTCTATAAATGTTTAGAGGATAAACTAAATATATACATTTTCCACATACATCTATCTACCTCGAAACATTTTTCTATAGTTATTCATTGAAAACGAAAATACTGAAAAATTTAAATTTAGCACTTTTCCTACAATTTTTCCATTACGGTCCATTTTAAAAAAATCATGTATAAACAAAAATTATAGAGATCGATATCGCAAACAACGTTTAATTTAGAATTTTGCACATTTTGTCAAATTTCTCGAATACGGACCATTTCAGGAAATTTTGACATGAAGCAAAAATTATAGATAATAATATTGGAAGTAACTTTTATTTGAATAATTTTCTTCTCCAAACATAAATAACAGATATATTCAATAAAATATAAAAACAGCCTCCCATAAAGTACCCCCCCCCCCCAGATGTTCCGACTTTGTCCAAAATCTAATTATTTCACGTCAGGCCGAAATAAAACTTAAGTTTAAAATTTAGTGTTTTTCTGTGTATCGGTTCATGAGTTATGGTGGATATAGACACAGACACACACGGCAATTTTACCCTAAGCTCCCCCTAATTTACCCACCTAAGAAGATGATCAATAACTGGGTTTTTGTCCAATAAATGAAGCGTAAAAAGGTAAGTATTTGTAACAAATTTTACCTAATTATCTTTAAACGTTTAGAAAATATTTACAAAAGTGTGGTATCAGGACTTCACCTTTAACACCCTGTATCTCGGAAAAGAAAAGTTTTCGGACCTATGTTTATATGAACTTTTACTACTATTTTAGGATGTAGATTACGCTGTTAAAATATGACCGTCTAATTTCGGGACACCCTGTATATCATCTATAACTATCAATAAATAAAAAATATTTGAGTTGTTTGGTTTAAAAATAGTATTCGTACATTCGTATATTAACAAGCCACTAACCCCCAGTAGGCGGCGATAGCCAACGAATTATACCTGAATTGTAATCGGACCCTTCAGCGTACGACACACAACATTGCCAAATTTATGTAGCGAACAAGGTTCCAAATACTTTAAGGGGAGGTCGTGAGATTCATGCGGTGTGACGTCAGAAGGGACTGGATTGCTCTTAAGTAAA